AGAGAGGTGTGTGCACTAGCCGTATTTCCCAACTTGATGGTGGAAATTGACCCTAATAATCGACTTACATTTTACAAATACTTTACTGAAAACAGTTGCCAAGGGTGTTACCCGACTGCACACTTTTTATTTAAATAATTATTATTTTGTCACTATATGGAGAGTTTATTTTCATGCTGTGGTTACGCTAAGCAGTGTTTATCATGGATACCCACTATTAGTTTTCATTTACTTCTGTCGTAGATTTCTCTTGTTACGTAGTGTGATATGGCGAAGAAAAATGAGGCTAAAACGATAGTATTAGGTGAGGAGGGAAAGTCAGCAGATGAAGTCGTGAGGCTGCATCCACTAAGATATTCTCTAGGATATGTGTTACTCATACCCAGCTATCACTGTCAGTGATATTAGGTGCCTGCGTCGTATCTCTCATGTTGAGTGGTCTGATAGGGTGAGTAATATTGAGGTTGGGCGTCGAGTACTAGGTAAGAAGGGGAGATCAAAAGACGAAGTTGTAAAGTCACATCAACTGAGATGGTTAGGACTTGTGTTACGCATGCCTTATCATTGCCTTCCTCGATGGGCAATGTTAGCTGACATGAGATTAGGTTGAAAAAGAGCTAGCACGTGGTGGTAAAGTCAAAACACGGCTTCATCAGTCAATGAAATCCATAACAGTTAGTTTGAGCGAGCCATTCACATAGGGAGGAGTAGACTTCTTGACTAGCTAGTTTGGGTCTTCAGGATGATCTGGTCTAGTCTGGATTAAACATAGAACTTGGCACCGAAATGCAGCAGTTTGAGTCGCCACGTTCCAAATAGCACACAGAGGTAGACAAGAAGATGAGTGAAAAGAATCAATACAGTCTGACAAGTATAAGGATGAAACAGAATGGGTAATGGTAGAAAGGAATATGAAAGATTACAGAGACTGAATACATCCGCGCCATTGACAATGATTTTGAGCCATGTCACCTATTGTCTCCAGCCATTAATTCCTAGAGTCCCGAGGGCCCCAACCTGGAAGTCTGCATCTCCCTACCTGACTCAGTTTAACTGTCAAGGATTTCATGGATTGATGCCATGTTTTTGTTTGGCCCTCAGGATGTTAAAAACCAATGAGGCCTGGAGACAATTGGTGATATGCTCGAAATCCTCGTTGTTAATGGCTCGCACAGATGAATTCACTCCTTGTAATTTATTAGTCATCTCCTATAAAAATCTATTGTTCTTCCATATTATTCTTCTTTTGCCTTACCTAACACTTCTGTTTATTATCTCTCTTTTAAAAGTCTCTTCTCTTTCTTTGTGTGCTAGGTGGAGTGTGGCACATCTGTGCAAATTTCTGTGTTGGAGCCAGTCAATTTGTTCTATGAGTAATGTTCTCTGATGTATGATTGGGCTGAAAAAGATTAAGGCATGGCCAGACCAAAACTGTTGGTTTAAGCCGTGGAGGGGAGTGTAGACAGCCTGGTTAAGGTCTTCGTGATGCAAAGAATCATTGGTTGACGACTTTTGGTAAAAGACACGTGTCTCCAAATCATTTACATTAATTCAACTGCGTTCATTTCCTTGTGACCTTCGAGATCCATCAAGTCCTCATTAATGTGCATGTAATTATTCCCTCTGCCGCGCATTTTTGTTTATTGCATTTTCTGTACCTCTATGGATTCTTTTATGAAGTACGATAACTACGGCATTTTTGTGTAAAATTCTACATTAATAGTTCAGTTTAGTTTGTCATAGGTATGCTCATGAAGATTTCAATCTTTTAAGATTTTATGATCGTTAAAGCCGCTGTCTAAAAATTTAGTAAACTTTATTATTAAAAGGAACCTTCAATATTATGCAAACGTTTATGAAAGATGAGCGATGAAGATTTTGCGTTTAAGATTCTTTTATCATTGTTTAAATGTGATCAGTTGATTCGGAAATAGACTGTATTGATGTTCTGTCCTATATTGACGGATGAGGTGGTTAAGCTCATCTAACGCTTTATAACAACCGAAAATTCTCATTAACTCAAGTGATTTATTGTCGGTCTATATATCAGTGAACTTCGCCCACCCGATTTAATTTCTGCACCTCACTACCACTGTTACTGACTTGACCAACTCTCAATTTCTAGTCATTCATGTTACGTCACCCAACTTATTTGCTGAATTTCAGTTTTAATTTAAATGGCTGGTTTAAATTTTTAAATTCATATTCTCTATTCCACTCCTACTTAGTCTCTACCTGGTGTAATTACCTCTGTTGCTGCTCTGATCTAAGTTGAAACGTTTTAGTTAGTTATATTACGTCATCTAACTTACTAACTAACTCAATCTTACTTTAGTTGCTGTCCAATCAACTTTGTTTCTATATTAGATCATTCTTGTATTACCTCATCAATTATTTAAACATGACAAACCTCATGTACACAGACACACAAACAATGATATATAAATTCGATTGTACAGCTATGTGAATGAATTCGCCGTCGAAAAGAGTCTCTTCGCTGAACATCTCTTTTTCATGTGACTCAATGGGGATTTTTAAACTTATTATTGTTATTGATGCATGAAATATCAGAACCGCTAGAGCTGAGTATACCCAATAACCGTGGAATATTTTCTTCTGTATTTCCGGTGAAGATGTGGTTCTCTGTCATGAGCAAATCAGCTTTCAGCCAGTGGATCTCGTATCCGAATCCCTCTTGGCTAACTTCAGCCTGGTTAACTAACTAGGTAGTATCATCAGCTCTCAAACAATAGGTGTCATCCATAGCTTGTCTGGTGCCACTAACTATAAGCCTTTAATATCATTTCCTCTTATTGTCTTTAATACCTTATCTCTCCGTCATTTGTCTGCTTATTGCTTGCTGTTGGTGTCAACCTTCTCTGTCTCTATATGATTGATAAATTTACACCCTCCTGACTATCGCTCAAAGGGTGGGTGTACTGCTCATCAGTCCGCTCCGTCCTCTTTTATAGCTGTGAGATGTGGTCATTGAGAGTGAAAGACATGAAAAGATTAGCTCTCTTCGATCATAGGTGCCTGTGCTCTATCTCCCATATGAAGTGGTATGATAAGGTGAGTAATATTGAGGTTAGGCGTCGAGTGCTAGGTAAGGAGGAAAAATCAATCGACGTGGCTGTGAAATTACATCGACTGAGATGGTCATCGCCTTCCTCGACCTACGGGCAATCTTAGCTGACATAGAGTCAGGCTGGAAAAGAGCTAGTGGCAGTCAAACCAAAACATGGCTTTATCAGTCAATGAAATCCACAACAGTTAGTTTAAGCCAGCCACGTAGGAAGGTGTAGACTTCCTCACTGGTTAGGGTCCTCGAGATGGTAGAAACCGATGGTGGTTGTAGACAATTGGTGATATGGCTGAAAATCCTCGTTTTCAATGGCTGGCTCAGATGCATCCACTCTTTGTGACTTATGATTTCCAATGAAACTATATTGTTCTTCGTTATTACTATTCCTTTTGTCTCATATCCCTGTCTACTGTCTCTATTTATCATTTCTTCTACTTTCTTCCCTTGCTTTGTGTGCTACATGGAGGGAGTGTGGCGACTTGAACTGCTGCACATTGGCGCAAGGTTCCATGTCGAAAATTGACAGACAGAGAGCAATTTCTATTTATTTTACATTGTTAGAAGATTTATTTCTCAACTCTTTTTCAGTGTGAGCTTGAGATTATACTCAACTTATTTCCTTTATCAGCTTCCAGTTGTCCTTGCCTTTTCTTCCTTCTTAATATATGTCCATATATTTTCCTTCTACTTCGTTTTCACAGGTGTCCAGTGTAGTTTCACACGTTTCCTCGGTGGTTTTGCTTAATGTGTCCAACCTTTTACTGATGACTCCAATGAAGGTGTCCTTTGTTGCGTCACCCTTTAGTTTCAGAGTGGTTAACTTGCAATGTGATCTAGGTCTAACATCCGCTCCTCATCTCGGTTTTCTGTCCAGTAGGCTGTATCTCTCCTTTTTTTGAGATTGGGATTGAATAATTGTTCTTTTTATAATATAAAAAATCATGAATACGCACAGATTACAAGATTACATGACTGTTCATTAGAGCTTTTGAAAACCACCATTGGGAGTAGCTCAATTGAGCAGTGGTTTTCATTTCGACCCGAACGTTTGATAACAGTGTGTTTGCTGTGGTGCCTAATGCACACATTATTGAATAACTCTCAGCTAAACCTGAATGACTACAGTTCAGAGTATCTTAGTTTCATCAAAAGAGTACAGAGATATGACTCATTGGCTTCATCACCTTCGGGTTTGCATCAGCCTCAGTCTGGTCAACTCAACCAGCCTTCACATAATGTGTGTGTGTGTGGCTCGTATCCCGGTACTTTAAGGCAGTATGGAGATGTGAATCATTGACTTAAGTCCCAAACTTTCAACCAATACGTTCAAGGTTCGAACCCTACTCCGTCTATTTCAGTTTGGTCAACTCAACTATGTAGTATCATTAAGCTTTCCCTTCCACAAAATAGGTGTGTGTGTGGCTCATAGTTTGTTTGTACATTGAAGAATGTGTTCTAGATAACTGAATTGTAACTTTCAATGAAAGAAAATTGATTTGTGCTTGCATATTGATAATACAAAGACATCATTCACTTCTTTTCTTCCATTCTTTTGCTTTCCGAGTGAAACTTAGGGTGTAAAGCTTGAGTTCTTAAGTTTCGATAGTGGTGGTTTGTTTTGTTGTCTTTACATGGTGGGGTTGCTAACCTTACCCCTCCCATGCTCCACGCTGATCACCCCTCTTTCCCTGGATTACTGTTGGGTAGTAAACTAGGCGAGGTTCAGAAGTGCGCTGGTGGTCGGGAATCGGACACCTGACCACTTTTGTAATTGGTAAGCATTCCACCCTTGAAACACTGACTCACTGCATCATTATTAACTGTTATTACATAATAATGTTAATATGAATCTAACGTTAATTCTGTTCAGCAAATTAAACTATTGTTATTCTTCTTATTTTTTTGTTTCATATAGCATTGGGTAAATAATCCTAGTCATAATCCTGATGCCACCGACCCGACAGTCAGTAATGGAGGTGGCGCTGTTGGTGGTAGGACTCCAGCACCGCCGTTACGCACAACAAGCGCACCTATTGGAAGGTAAGTTGATAATATAACTGTTAAAAAAATGATTTCACTTCTCTGCATAGCTCCATTGAAAATATCCCCTTTAAACCAAATAAACCTTTACCACTTACTCCACTAGAAGAAGAAAAGCGTGAGAAAAAGAAGTGTAAAAGTAGACTACAAAAGTTTAAACCATCTATTATGCCGAATATTTCTGCACCTGTTAATGTGATGCATAAAATTCATATAACAATTGATCCAGTGACTGGAGAATTTGAGGTAAGCAATTTTCTCTTCTTTTTTTCGTTTTGTTAATAAAATTTTTCTTCCTTATTTTGTCCTTTTTCTTGTTGAAGATTTTTGATTGATGATGGCTAGCAGTGGAATACAGGATGTGCTTTTCGCCCTGTTTGAAACTCGTCGATTGAATTCTTAGAGTATGAGTCACTGTGTTCCCATTGGGACTTGAAACGATGGTTGTTGGCTTCGAGTCCCAATGGGAATACCACCAATAACCGGAGACCAGGTACTTTCAGCTGACAAATTCTAAACAGTTGTTAGTTTCAGCTGGTTTCACGACTGCCCACATGCTTTTATTTCCCCCTCATATGATCCCCTTCACATCACCCTCGGACATTCAGCACACTGCTTCCCATTCTAATTCCACTCTAAGTCTTCGTATGTGATGTCATTTGAATGGTAACCTCAGTTTATGTTCAGTTCATCTCGTCGCCAGAGTCTCTTCCTAGCCTACCATCTGATCTTCAGTATTATCAAGCTAAGACAGGTGTTTAAGAAATTTTGCAGTAGCCTGTTAGGAATGCCTTTGATGATGCTTGTGTTTGAGGTTTATGAAGCATTCGGAAGTCCTGACTTCACATTAGTGTTAAAAATTCCGATCATGTTCCTTGTGCTGATTGCTGTAGGTCTACATATTAATTTTAGAATAATGAATGCCTCTCTTGATTTTACATGCCGCTTGTAATTGAGACGATGTTACACAGGTAAGTAGTAAAGGTTTAGATTTGTCTCATCTATTGCGATTGGCATTTGTTGTGATCGTTCGGATAAATACCTTGATCATCTTTGTTGGTTTTCGCTTTTAATTCTTGGATATTTTTGCGACATGAGGCATAAATCATTAACGGAATTCAGGTATTCTAGTGCCTCTTTGTCAGTCCAACGTATAGCTGTCTTCTCCATGCACCACGATCTGTGACATGATTCACTCCACCAACTTTGTCTTATTCTTGACTTCGAACACTTCAGTGAGCCCCCCTCAGTCCGAGTGAATTCTTTCGTCCATGAGGTCTTTTAGTCTATCCAAGATGTTGTAACTGAATATTCTTCTGAATAAAGCGAGAACAACATTGATTTGTGCAGAATAACATGGTACCATCATTTATTTCGTTGGCTTCTCGTCAGCTGCTTACAGCCTAAATAAATTTTCAGGTTTAAGTACAGAAACGTTTTAACGTACTTGCAAATTTTACATGTTGACAGAAAGTTTCACAACTAGTAAACAGTGCTCAGAAAATTGCGCTTATATAGTTTTTACACAGGCAGTTCAAGTTAAAAAATAATAAATAAATGTATGTATATAATGGTAAGGGATGTGCGTTGGATGCATAGTGACTAATAAGTTAGGTAACAATGTACTGAGTTGAACTCAAATCATAGAAACAAGAGACAAACAAAATTACAGATTATAAAAGGAGGGTGAGGTTAAAGACAAAATTACACAATCAGATGAGAGATGCAAAGTGACTAATAAGTTAGGTAACAATGTACTGAGTTGAACTCAAATCATAGAAACAAGAGACAAGCAAAATTATAAAAGAGGGTGAGGTTAAATAAAGACAAAGATTACGCAATCAGATGGGAGAAAAAAGACATCCAGTTACCAAGGCAAGGAAAGACTAATAACTGATTCTTTCTGAACACATAGATCTGGTTTCAAGCGTTTTATAGAAATTGCTTCGGCAAACTTGAGGAGAATGGAGCTCCTTTGTCTATTGATAATTTTGAAGGATTTCTCGATTTCCACCTCATGACCCGTGTCGAGGAGATGTCTGGTAATAGCGCTGCTATAAGAATTTGTTCCCTTGAGACGTAGGCTTTTCGGCACATGTTCAGAAAATCGGAGGTGTGCCCTTCTTTCTGTTCTCCCAATGTAACTGCTCCCGCAGATACACGTAAATTTGTATACACAGTTGGAGTTAACATGAGAAGGGTATCTATCGACTTTTGACTGCACCAAAGAGCATGTTGTTCGGTGGACGGGAACCAACTTAGCTGCAGGATAGGCTCTGGCTAGTGACGTCCTCAGTCTTCTGTTGACCATTTCTGCAATGTCTTCACCTTTAAAGTCTAGTTGAATGAAGACAGGCTTTTTTTCGACTGTGATTTGTTTGGTATTTGGGCCTTCACATCTTCCATATTTGTTAATGAATTTTTGAGTATAGCCGTTGTTTTTCAGCACCTTTTCGAGATTCGTGAATTCTTCCTCTAGTTTCTCTGCAGAGCATATTCTCCTCGCTCTATAGTACAGAGTCTTGACTAGTGCTCGTTTATAGCTATTTGGACAAAAACTATTAAAATGTAAGTATTGTCCATTCCATGTGGGCTTTCGGTAGATTGACCTCTGGAGGCTACCATCTTCTAGGCGTTTTATGGCGACGTCAAGGAAATGGAACTGTCCATCATTTTCATGTTCCATAGTAAATACAATATTTGTATGTGCGTTGTTGAATAGTCTGAGTAGGTAGGAGGCATGACTTTCATTGTTGCATACTACAAATGTGTCATCGACATATCGACAATAGGAAGTTGTTTGATCAATTGCATGCTTCAGCTTTGTTTTCTCAAGGTTTGACATAAAGATATCTGCTAAAACAGGGCTAAGTGGACTGCCCATAGCTACACCATCTATTTGTCGGTAAAGAGTGTTGTCAAACTGGAATTGTACATCCATGGTACACATCAGCAGTAGGCGTTTGAATTCCGGCTCTGGTAGTGGGAGAAGATCAGACTGTTGACAAATGATTTCAATGGTTTCATTGATTGGGATCATTGTGAACAAGGAGGTTGCATCAAATGAAGCCATGAACTTATTTGAAACGTTCATGTGATTCACGCTTTCAGCAAAATGAAATGAGTCCTTTATGGTGTGCGCGGCCAGCCTTTGGCGAATGGGTTCCAACTTCTCCGCGAGCCAACGGGCAACCTTATGTTGGGGAGAGTTGATCATCGAAAGTATAGGTCTCAGAGGGACTTCTTTCTTGTGTGTCTTTGGAAGGCCATACATATATGGCAAGCGGGACCCTCGGGGTTTCAATTCATTGTACGTGTTGTTGTCAATCAATTTCTTCTTTAGAAGATCTCTCAATACGTTTGTGATGCGTTTTTCGGTTGCATCTGTCTTGTCTTTCTGGCAGTCGTCGACTTTGAACCTCAACGGATCACTGAGCACAGTTTTCATCCTTGCGACGTAGTCATCTTTATCCATCACTACCACTCCTGAGCCTTTGTCAGGTCGCAGTATGACAATTTTGTCATTATTTCTAAGAGCTTTCAATGCTTTTTGATGTTCTTCAGAGAGGACTTTTGAATATGACGTTGGTGAGATGAGGTATTGATTTGCAACGTCGACCAGCTTAGATTTGAACCAGCTCTTCTTGTCTTCATCAACTGGAGTAAGATCATTCAGCTGATAGAATAGGTTTTCGAATTGAGCTGTGACGTCGGTTCTATTGACAAAGCTATTCGGGATATGGAAGTTAAATCCGAGGGAAAGCACTTCCATTTCTATGCGGCTTAAATTCACACTCGACAGATTATATACAAAATCCTCAGGATTTTCTGGGAAGACTTCATATATTTTTTCCTTTGTCAGGGATTTCGTCAGGGTTTTATAAAAATTTTCACAGGTTTTCTGTTGAAGCTCTTGAATGAAATTGATGAATTTGATCCGGCAAACTATGTTCAAACTATTGACGACACCGTCAAAGGATCTGGCTTCATTTCTCAATTTTGCAATCAGAGATTCTGTTGATTCAATATGCGATTTCGTAATGCGTCGGAGGTTTTTGAGAGAGGGTGGCAATTTGCAACTACGGAGTGACTTCATGAGATGCCGAGGAAAGCAGTGGGACTGCAAGCATTCATTGTAAAACTTTATTCGTGTAACTTCTCTGGATATTCTGCAACGAATTGTCACCAAGCGATCCAGTGACTTGAAAGATTTTTTTTTTTTTTTTTTTTTTTTTTTTTTTTTTTTTTTTTTTTTTTTTTTTTTTTTTTTTTTTTTTTTTTTTTTTTTTTTTTTTTTTTTTTTTTTTTTTTTTTTTTTTTTTTTTTTTTTTTTTTTTTTTTTTTTTTTTTTTTTTTTTTTTTTTTTTTTTTTTTTTTTTTTTTTTTTTTTTTTTTTTTTTTTTTTTTTTTTTTTTTTTTTTTTTTTTTTTTTTTTTTTTTTTTTTTTTTTTTTTTTTTTTTTTTTTTTTTTTTTTTTTTTTTTTTTTTTTTTTTTTTTTTTTTTTTTTTTTTTTTTTTTTTTTTTTTTTTTTTTTTTTTTTTTTTTTTTTTTTTTTTTTTTTTTTTTTTTTTTTTTTTTTTTTTTTTTTTTTTTTTTTTTTTTTTTTTTTTTTTCTGATTTTCTGAACATGTGCCGAAAAGCCTACGTCTCAAGGGAACAAATTCTTATAGCAGCGCTATTACCAGACATCTCCTCGACACGGGTCATGAGGTGGAAATCGAGAAATCCTTCAAAATTATCAATAGACAAAGGAGCTCCATTCTCCTCAAGTTTGCCGAAGCAATTTCTATAAAACGCTTGAAACCAGATCTATGTGTTCAGAAAGAATCAGTTATTAGTCTTTCCTTGCCTTGGTAACTGGATGTCTTTTTTCTCCCATCTGATTGCGTAATCTTTGTCTTTATTTAACCTCACCCTCTTTTATAATTTTGCTTGTCTCTTGTTTCTATGATTTGAGTTCAACTCAGTACATTGTTACCTAACTTATTAGTCACTTTGCATCTCTCATCTGATTGTGTAATTTTGTCTTTAACCTCACCCTCCTTTTATAATCTGTAATTTTGTTTGTCTCTTGTTTCTATGATTTGAGTTCAACTCAGTACATTGTTGCCTAACTTATTAGTCACTATGCATCCAACGCACATCCCTTACCATTATATACATACATTTATTTGTTATTTTTTAACTTGAACTGCCTGTGTAAAAACTATATAAGCGCAATTTTCTGAGCACTGTTTACTAGTTGTGAAACTTTCTGTCAACATGTAAAATTTGCAAGTACGTTAAAACGTTTCTGTACTTAAACCTGAAAATTTATTTAGGCTGTAAGCAGCTGACGAGAAGCCAACGAAATAAATGATGGTACCATGTTATTCTGCACAAATCAATGTTGTTCTCGCTTTATTCAAATTTATCAAGGGGAATAAATGCATGAATATTCTTCATCGGGTGGACATGAGCATGATTGATTCCAGGCCACTCGTTGCGTAACCATAAGCCTCCCTTCGTTAGTAGCTTGGCAAGGTAGTCTTTCCCCTTCCTTTCCTTTCTTCCACGCCTGCAGGGGTATCGTAAGCTTGTCAGCTGACGCCTCTGGGGAGATTATATCGGTCTTGCTGCTTCACTGACTTCCAGTAACTCTATGGCCTTCATGACTTGAGATTTTGTCTTGGGGAGGGGAGTGTGTTCACATTCAGTCATGTATTTGCTGGTGTTATTTCTAGCCTATTGTCGAGTCCTTTGAAGTGATCAGCGCATTGTTTCCTCTGTCCCACCTATTTAATAATTTGGCTTTCTTCACTGTCTCACTGGTTTCATCTATGTCGGTCTCCTTACCATAGCTGCCAGGCTCTTCGACATAGTGCTCTAGAGTGTCTCGGCCTCTTCTAGTCAAGTTGAAAGTATGTCATAAAAGTGTCCTTTGTCTTCATTATCAGTCTTCTCTACTCCTTTGTTTGGTGCGCTGTATTTTTTACTAAGCTTTTTTCGTTTTTCATCTCTGCGCTGGTGTATCTTCTATCTCGCCACTTTCCTCTCTTCTTTCAGCTCCTAGATGTTCATAGTGAGTCATTCCTTGTCTTCCCTTCCCTTTTTGCCTAATATATATACACAGGATTCGTTCCATGTCTCTTTCAAAGAGTTCCGGCATTCTTCCACTCAAACTTGCTCGATGATGTTGTTTAATGTCTCTGACGTTTTCTTAATGATTTCAGTGAAGGTGTCCTTTGTAGCGTAGTACTTCAGTTCCAGAATGCGGATCTTGGATTGTCTATCTCCAGCCTCTTTGGAGCCCTTTAACTTAACCTTGAATGTTCCTTCCAATAGGCAGTGGTGTAAGCCTACATCTGCTACTCTTCTCAATTTTGTGTCTGGTAGGTTGTTTCCCCACTTTTCTGAAATTGACATGAAGTTTACCTGAATTTTGATATGTGCATCTGGTGAAAATCATGTCACCTTGTGTACCCACTGCCTGTCTGCAACCATGAAATGCTCAGAAGTCTGCAAAGAGTTCTTTGTTCTCATTCTTTTCACAGAGAGCCTCTCGATCAATGATGATTTCGTTTCCTGTGTTGTATGTTTTCAGTTTGAAGTTCATATCATCCTCTGGAATTTTTTATTTCTGCCGCTTGACTTGGGTCTTGTCCATTACAGCTTGCAGTTGTCTGTAAAAGTTTCTCTTCTCTTGTTGAGTGAGTAGCTCTGTATAATTGTAATTTTTCTTTTTCTTGAGTTGAATCTTTCTGTCATTATCCTGGAGGCGATTGGTTCCAACTGCATAAGAGCTTTTGGTGTTGTTTGTGGCATCATATTAATCACACCCTTAGTGCGCTCATGTTCTTCCTCCTCTAGACTGTAGTGGATTATTAAAACTTCAGTCAATAATTTGAAGAGTTCACAGGTTCTTGGCACTTTTACACCATACCTTCTCATCTTATTTGCAGTCTACCGGAACATTGTCAACCTTAAACATGGTGAGGAAGCTCCATGTCCTTATACTTTTACTTTCCTTAAAAGGAGATTATCTGTCTGTTTTCGACAGGGAACTTTGCACCGATGTGCAGCAGTTCAAGTCGCTACACTCCCTCCTTGTAGCCCACAAAGCAAGAGAAGAAAGTAGAAGAAGTGCATAATAGAGACAGTAAACAGAAATATAAGACAAAAGGAGCCACAACTATTGACTGGTCTCCTTAAAGCTTTTGCCACACCCCGAGCCTTCGACTTTTGAAGTCTGATCCAAAAGATAGACGAGCAGAGTGAGGAATTGCGTTTCCATGGTTTCCCATGACTGGAACAAGTTCACACACCATTTAACCTGTTTGGATTCTATAGCCCATGTACACCATAGTTTTGTAACCAGGGTTCTCTAGTTCCCCTTGGTACACCTCGATGCCCACCACTCCGGTTGTTATTACCAGACATTCGCATTCTGCCTTTCTTTTTCGTGAGGAACACTCGCCTCAATCAATCCACAGTAGCATATATAGTATCACACAGCTTCCTGGTAGGTGTGTCATCCGTTTAACACTGTGTGGTTCCACTAATCAATGAATGAATGAATGCTGATGAATTGAAACCGCCACTTTGCTTGACCAAAATGTTTTGGTTGTAAATCTGGTAGGCAGTATTATCATCAGCCGTCGTCACACCATGTATATTTGCCTCACTGTCAAGTGTGTAATTTCATTTTTCTCTCTAACTGGGTATGTGTGTGTATTTCTTGCCTTCTATATACAATAGGGTATGCCACCAGAATGGTCTCATATGCTTACAATGGCTGGTATTACAAAATGGGAACAACAACAAAATCCAACTGTTGTATTGAATGTATTAAATTTATTAAGTAAAAAGGACACAACACCACAAAAGTATATGACAAGTATCATTGGACCATCAGGAGGAGGAAGCGGCGGTGGTAAGTACTTCTTTCCATTTGTTTGTCCCAGTAGATTTATCATTTATGTATTCTCACATTACTATTGTCAGTATTATTATTATTATTATTTCAATTTGGATCTCGTTATTATCCAACATCAGTTATAGATTATTAAAAACTAGGACCGCACTGGAAAGTTGTTTTGTCCTAGTTTGGAACTCTTTAGCAGTGTACACCCATCGAACCGGGTACTTTCAGGTTACTAGGATGGTTGACCATTCATTCCCTTGGGCTGGAATTCAATGGCCTTTGTCAGTTTATTATTATTATTATTATTATTGAAGTATGTAGGTATATGGAATATTAGGTAATCTAAAGTTTCAAGTTTGACCACGGATTGACATGGGTTAGAGAATGATTGAAAGCCAGGGAAACAAATGAAATTCCTAAGAATTAACTCTTAAATATTAAATGTGATGCTCCCTAATGCTCACTTAGCTACAGGACGAAATTGCCTGGAGTACTGGTGAGAAGTCGTGACCACGGGGTGTCCAACAAGTTGGGTCGCCACAGATGATATTGGTTGCTACCAGTCTCACTAAAATCATGAATTGATAGGAGTTAGAATTCATGGTCTATTGATTCTGGTCCCTGTTGCTGAATGGTCTACGAATTTGCTTTGTAACCCGAAGGTTCTGAGTTTCAACTCTAGTGGATGCTCACTGCTGATAATTGGCGAACTAGGATGAAATAACTGTCCAGTATTCCAGTGCTGGTTTTCAGTGGTTCTCTAACTAATAACTAATTAATATGAAGTTGTTTAAAAGTTAGGTCAGAGAATAATAATAATAATCATTGACGGACTGGATTCTAACGCGTTTCACTAAAGAATTGTCAAGGAACTTAACCCTAAGTTTCTATTATTTGCGAAGACGCTCCGAATCGATAATTACTATCACCGATTATCGACTTTAACTCCAAAACACCAGTACTTGCAATAACTTGTATTGTTCGGCAATTAAAATCGAAATTGATACAAAGTTTTTATTCGTATTCTTTCGTCTTCTTCCAACTTGTACATGATTGAATCATTCACGCCTTCGAGTTGCCCGCCGATGGCGACCAAGGTCAATGAACCAACGTTCAATGTTCACATTCATTTACAGAATGCTTATGCATTTGCTTGGGAATTCGACTGGTCTCCTAGGTTAGACGGGATTTCTTCACGAAGGTATTTTATCACATTTCTGAAGAGTTTGGAAATTAGAATGAAACACTAATCCATCATTTGATGGATAACGGTAATGGTTGGAAAGTGCTTGGCACAGGTTTAATATTTAATTCCACTTGCCAGCAAGGCGTATTTACACCTTCGGAGACTCCAAACCGTCTCACCCTGCGGTGCAGGAAGAGACGGTATCCTTGAGTCATTTCGGTTGTATAAAATATACATTAATTTTGTCTTGACTTTCATTTGTAAAACTTTCTTCTACCATAGTCAGTATCCTGGAGTAACGGTAGAAAATAAGAGACTTGGTAACGGAATATTTATTTGGAATTTGGTATCTGTATATGTAGGGAAATTATGTACACCTTATCTAAAAGTCGTTGTTTGCACAGAACCTCCGTGTTTTGCTACTTCTGCCCTTCACACTGTGTTCCTTTGTTTCCTTTTCGTGTCTGACACGTTTTACTACAGTATCGGTTGTTCACTTACTGTCTTTGACGTCGAATCTATATTTACTCGCTATTTTATATTTTTTTATGCCGACGACCGTCTTTTAATATACTACTGATAAATCGTGTCAGTAGCACACGCCACACATCGTGATCTGTTTAATTTGTCTTCAGTACTGTTAGTAATAACTGTCTTGTTTTCCTACGTTGAAATAAGCGTTTGCACTTTTGACATTGAAGATTTCGTCTAGAAGGTTAATTACAGGTTTAGCCCCACTGAGAACCAGGGAGTACTGGACAGTTGTATCATCATCTTGGTTGGCGACTCTACTGCAATACGCACCCAGAATCTTATGGTTACAAGATGAGCTCGTTGGCCATTCAGCCACTGGATGCACATACTAATTAAGAGTGCCAAATTTGGACAAAACAACTATTCAGTACTCTCCGGTTTTTAATGATTTTCCAACTGATGTAAATCCGTGATGGAACCTTGAAACAAATACCCCCCCCCCTTAAAACCAACTTTTAAAGTGCTAGTTAGTTCGTTAGTGAGTTAGTTAGCTGCTACTCAGGTGACTTTCAGTGGGAGAACTTCATACAGAAGTACTGCAGTACAAAAGTTACTACATTCCATATTCCATACACGCACGTAGGGTAAAAGAAAAATATAGAAGAGAAAGAATAATTACATGAGAAAATTTGATGATTTAATCGATGTATTGAAGATTAAAAAAGAGTGAATATCATACATTTGCGCTATTGTGAACGGTTTTTCAGCTGTATTAGCAAAAAGCTGCAACTTATTTATTATTAGCGTTTCGTGAACCCCAACTAGAACAGTACACTTGCCTATATGGCTTAAACCAACAATGGAGGATTTTATGCATTGATACCATGTGTTTTGTTTTATTTTGTCAGGCCACCCCTAACTCTTTCACATATATCAGGTCAAAAGTCATGTATATTATATGATGTGCGAGTTAATGATACTATCCCAATTGCGTAAGCTCAAAGTAGGTGGGTGGGGTAGGACTCGAACCAAGCACACCTACTGATTGGTACCCTAGGCTAATTAGCTGCTAGCTACTCCACTTAATAAATGTCTGTATAAGTCAGTGATATACAATAACAAAGAAATGTTCTGATCACACCATATGTCTTCTTATTAAATCAAGGCAGTTAGACGTATATATCTATCTAATCTTAAAATAATAAAATATAAATCAATACATATATATGTACCGCTGAGATTTAAACAATCCTCCCTATGTTCAATGTGTTTAATGTACATAAAATGAAGCCAACTAAGCAAAAAATCTTTTAATTCCTATAAATACTAACAACCAACCAACTACATAATTTTCCAAAATCTGGATTAGTTAATTAATTATTTGATTTAGTTTAATTAAATAATTAATCAATTAATTAATTAATGAAGAAAATAAAATTGATGTGAAAAAAATTATCGATACACACACACACTACACAATTAATAATATATACAAGCAATTTATGAAGTGTGTTTAGGGGAGGTGAGAGAGAAAGAGAAAGAAGGTGAGGAACTCTGTTCCTTACACTAATTAATTGATTGAGGTTGTTACAGTTCACACACACACACAAACACAGAACCGTATATCGTAGAGTATGTTGGTGTATGTCCTGTGTTAGTGTGTTGTGCTTATGTACAGAATTCTTTTATTTATTTTACTCCAAACATTGTTTAATTTATCAAATTGTAATTATGTCACATAACATATGTGCTTGGATTTCACAATTTCCTGGAACACAGATCTTTTAGGCGTTATATGTACAACTCTCATTCACAATTTCCACCGTTCGATGAGTGAAATCTGACCACAGTTTCCCTATGGAGTCTGAAAGTATTCTGATCACACCATGTAATCAGCTTGGTTACCTACCATAAATGGTGTAATCAAGACGCCAAGCATAAATCCATACTACTAATTGATTCAGATGAGTAGTTGGTATACCACTCACATCAACCAGAATGAAAGGCTATTTGAACGGATTCAGGCTCTGTCTGAACTCAGTTGAACCGGATACACCCCCACCGGTGAGCACAGTCCCAAAACGAACGAAAACGGCTCTCCGATGTTTGGATGACTTCGACCTAGTTGGTTGGCGGGTACTACACTGGTGTTGATATGAGGCGGTATACAACTACTCATCTCAGTTAATCAGTAGTATATGGATTTATGCACCACATAATACTACTGTATGAAAGTAGACTACTATTCCAAAGTTGCCTGTGCACCAGTCATCGTCGAAGCATCTGCACAAGAAGCCAACAGACATGTCAACCTGACACCGAGCACTTCGGTCCAATCAATCGATGGGGGAATCTAAAATTGAATAAAATAATTAATATAACTCGTTGCACAAGAGGCAGTGGCTCTCGTGGCCCAAGTGGTCTAGTGGGTAACGCTTTGGTTGGCGTTTGAAACTACGGGAACGGGGTTCGAGCCTCGGTGTGAACGTTATCACTCACTGACTGGGGAATGCAGATACATTCACTGGCTGACGAGTCCCAAATAGGACGAAATGGGCGTTCTCCTGGATTCCACTACTAGTCACCATTCATAAATTAACCTCTAAGATAGGTAGAGTTTTCGAGATTTGATCTCACAGTGAGTAGTAGTCATCCATTGATAGTGAAAGTCAAGTAGTTTTATTAGCCAATCATTATAAAAGCAGTATCTTCATATATTATTAGGTAGATATATAGTATTGTTACTATGGTGTTTAGTAAGACGGGAATCAATTCTTCTATACACTTGAAAAATATATGTACATATATATTTATTTATTTGTTTTTTATGTTCTTGTTTAATTTCCTGTTTTTGGAAACCGTTGTTTTCTCTTTTTGATTTCTATATTTTATTGCTTTATTGTTAACTTTTAAATTGAAGAGAAATTCATCAGCCTGTATCGATATGTATACATGCATAAAGGCAGGGGAGCGAATTGCAAGAGCCATAATGGGATTAATGGGAGAAAGAATGATTATATAGGGAATAAGTGGAATTTAACAGATCTGCGCTATTGAAAATGATTTTAAGCCATGTCTGTTACCAACAGTCGTTAAGCCATTTGGTTCTTAGCCACCCCAGGCAATTCAGAACAACCCCCTCAATGTGTGACCACTTCTAACTCAGCCTAATCCATCCAATGTTAGTTGCTAATGCGTTGCTTGACAAGGAAGGCATTACTTGGTTTGCGTAACACATCGCTTAGCCATTTCAATGGATGCAGTTCCACACCTCATCAGCTGATTTTTCCTTCTTCTTACTTATACTTATATCAATTTCCTTCTTCTTCTTCTACTTCTTGTGTAACAC